TTTTTCGATAAATTTTACACTAACCGTCAACTAACTAACGCAACCGTCCACTGCTCACACCTGAGGAGTGTTAAGAAAATAAATAAATCAATCAATCAATAAATATTCATATATTCAAATACATTTTATTTTTAATGAAAACAAATAAAAAAAACAAAACACAACTAATCCTTAAAATTTCAAGGTAATGTTGCAACTTGCAAAATACATTAGAATTTGAAAATGAGACTCACATAGATAAATCTCATCCAAGCCATGATGCAATCATAAAGAAATGCTTCCTAGAAACAAGAAAGAATTTTAATAAGACCTTTAAAATATCCAAAGAAACAACAGAACACAAGAAACAACTCTTCTCTACAGTAATGCACAAACATCACCAGACTTTTTCACATCCTCATCAGTTCTTTTCCGTCATCGGACCTTGTCCCTCATAAAACATTTGTTGCTTGTTATACATACGATGCCGCCTCTCTCGAGTATAGATGACCCAGAAAACGGTGGACAGCATCACCGCAGCGGAGACGAGCGTGAGGCCAGCAAATACCCAGTTTGTGTACTTTCTAAGACTAGGACAGTTGTTCTGGTTTATGGAGCTAAACGTCTGTCTGGCAAATGTGCAGTCCTCCAGCTGAACAAGGAAAGGAGCATAGTGGTATAAAGCATAACCCACACTCACTGCAGCATTCATCTGATCATACAGAGTTGGGGTGACACGGCCTACAGTTCTACATATCTCAATCCCATTCACGAGGCTGACATTGCACTCATAGTTCCTCCACACCTGCATTCAGAAGTATGTTTTATTTACCTCCTCCATGGATATAAGTTCTTATGATATTTGTATGGAGAAATATAATGTTATTTCCTCTGTTTACTAATCAAGTTTTAAGCTTCTGGAAACAGGAAGGTAAGTAGTAAGTAGCTCATATGACATTTCTTAGCTTACCAATGGTTATGACAAGGTTTCAACTGTAAAAAAAAAAAAAACTTTCGAGATTTTATATATTTACACATCTAGTATATAATTTTTTATACGCATAATTACATACAGAGCATCCGAAAAATTGTTTTCTACAAAATTTAGCATCGAGGTGATATTTTCGAACTAACGAACTGATGTATTTATTGGTGTCACGATCAAATCACTAAGAGTTTAAATAAAAAGAAAAATA